ACCGTGCACAGAAGTTGTGCCTGTGTGTGGCGCCTACCTCCAAGGGCACCTCATTTTCAATCATCCCGTCCGGCAGGCTGATCATCCTGCCTTTTCTCTCGTTCTTTCTCTTCTTTCTCCTCCTTCATTCTTTTGCCTTATCAACCTCCCTGTCGCACCCCGAGGCGTGTCGGTAGGTCGGGCCGGGCGTTTCGCTTGAGACATCGTCACCGTCTATGATCCTTAGGCAAAGAATTTTGACGGATGGAGGGCGGGCCGTTTTCAAAATGTGGCTATCGATTTCAGTACGGCGCGCATTCGCTTTGAACAAGGTTCGAAAGTGTTTCACGGATGGAGGGCGGGCCGTTTTCAAAATGTGGTCCCCGCCTTCGCGCCGTGCGCATGCGTTTAGAACATGCAAGCGCTTCCCGGACGGGGGGTGGCTGGTTTTCAAGTTGATGTTCTCGCCTCATTGCCGCGCGCATTTGTTGTAAACTTTTGCAACAGCTTCACGGATGGATGGCGGCGCTTTTTCAAAATATGGTTCTCGCCTCGCTCTAACCGTATGCCCCGGATTATAAAACATATTCCAGTTTTCTCACGATTTTCATGTTTATCCCCGGCCAAGGCAGTCTTGGTCAGCGGTGGAGAGCGGCGGGGTCGAACTTCACTATCGCCGGGGGAAATATGCATTATAAATCGAATATTATGAAGTGTCATGGTTATCAGTAGCATCATCATGGTGATTGGTATCATTGTCATTATCCGAGCACGGTATAGTTATACCAAGAGTCATTGCGTGCATCCGCACACTCCGAAAGAATCCGTTCGCTCCTCCTTCTCCTGCTCCTCCCTCTTTGTGGTGCGACCTGCAGAGAAGAGCTTGTCATCCCGCCGGAATGCGAACTTTAGTACCCCCACCCTGTGATCATTTGGGGCATAGGGTGAAGAGTTCATGGCAGTTTCAACTATTCTCATGGCTAACGTTCCAGAATTTGTTTCTTGGCACGATGCCGGATTGTCAGTGCGCAACAATTACGTCGATTCGCGGTGTTGACGTCCTTGAAGTGCGCGTTCAAGGGTTCTGAAACGATTCTCTTCCAACGGGGCACTTCCCTGAGTTAGACTGAAAATTTGTAAAAGGGACATATGAAGAGAGAGAGAGAGAGAGAGAGGCAGTAAGGGAGGAGGAGAAGGCGATTTTGAAGGAAAAGGAAAAGGAACATGACAAGACGCGCAGCTTTGCTGATTCACGGCGAGGACCCAGCCACATGATGCTTGTGACAAATCATACAGCCACATATGTGGAGTGCGAAGTGTCTTCAAAACGGAGCTCTCGCTTTGGCGCCGCGCACGCTCGCTTCTAGCAGTTACACGGATGGCTGGCGGTTCTATTTAAAAACGGGTTTTCGTTTGAGGTTTTTTTCTGAACATAGGACCACAAGTAGCAAGCATTTGCACGCCAGTCACGGATGGATGGCGGTTCTTTTCAAACATGAGCATCCCCCTTGATATGTCATGTGGTCTCGAGGCCAGAAGTGTCAATTTGCTAAACCATTGCATGGTTGGGGCGTGACTCTTTTTTCAGAATTGGGTTGTCGTTGTCATTGATGACATTATGTTGCCGCAATTTTGCTAGCTGATAGGGCGTATGGCAAGTTCGTTCAAAACGGTGCTCCCGCCTGAACTACGGGTCCGTCAGGCGCTCGTCTTTGCAGGGGGGGCACTCCGCGCAGAGAAATGCGCCTGTAAGGACGAACGAGGAGGGGACTTGGGGCGTGAGGGTGTGCTGCAGCATCGCTGTCACATCTTGGGCTTACTCTGATCCTATCGAATGGCCTTCGGCCCATCCCGCCACCGTGCCTGGGTTGTGGGTATGAGGTCTATTGGATTTCCGTCGGGATCTTGTAGGAGGCTCTAGGGGGCCTCTTGGAGGCAGGTTGGACGCCTCTTGGGGGCGCTTTGGGGCCTCTTCGGGCCTCTTTGTGGGCCTCTTGGGGGCCGCCTCTTGGGGGCAACGTGGAGCCTCTTGGAGCCTCCTGGAGGCCTCCTGGGGTGGAAGGCTCGGATTTTCGGTTCGTGTTCCCTGCCCCTTGTGGGGCCGTCTTGGTGCCCCCTTGGGCCGTTTTAGGCGCTTCTTGGGCCGCCTTGGGGCGGTCTAGTGGGCCTCTAGGGCCGCCTGGGAGCGTCGGGGAGCCGAAAAGGCGAGGACGCCAAATCCTTCAAAAACATTAGGACAAATTGATGTTTTTTCCAGTCTTGGGGCCCTCTTGAGAGGCCTCTTGGAGAACTCCTGGGGCGTGTTGGAGGCATCTTGGGCCGTCTGAGGGCCATCTTGCGCGTCTTGAGGCGATCTTCGGCGGCTCGGGGCCCTCCTGGGCCGTCTTGGGGGGGCCCCTCGGGGTTTTCTTGGCCCAACCTGGCGCCCTCTTTGGGTCCGAGAAGCTCACGCGCAGCCCCCCGGAGCCCGAGGGGCACGCGACAAGCCCTATAGGGGGCACGCGAAAAGTCCCCGGAGATTTGAGAGCGAGGGGTCCTGGCCCCTTGCATCGGGAGCGGCCAGGACGGGGGTGAAGACTGGGGGGGGGGGATCTCACGGCGTGGGCTATGGTATTTCCTCAGGTTTCATGGCACCTCCGCGCACATGCCTCGGGCCATGATTTGTGCACACCCCTCTTGGACGCCCCCCTCTTGGCCGCCCCCGATTAAAGATTTCTCAGGAGTGAGGATTGAGGCTGAGAGGATTAGGCAAAGGACCCGAGGACATGCGCACTCTGTGCCCAGAGCCACGGTGGCGGATGACGGGTCCGACTCCTTCGAATCTTGTTCGAACTCCTTTTCAACCTGTTCCTCCTCATCTGCTCCTCATTACCTTCCCCTTCGTCCAACTACTCCTCGCCGTGCTCCTCGGCCCTCTGTGGCCCAGGACCGCGGCATCTTTTCGAAGCTCGGCGCTGTGACAAAAGCATGGCCGGAGCCCTCGGCACCCATCAGTGCGCCTACCTCCACGAGCCGGGCCGAGACGCGAGTGCGCCTTTGGGCACCAAGCGGGGCGAGAGCACCCGTCGTGACTCTGTCCAGGACTCTGCGGGTGTCAGGGCCAGGCCCGTCAGCAGTGTCTTGCTGTCGCGTCCGCCGCGCCGCCGCTGCCGCGCCCACCGCCGCCGCATCCGCAGGAGGGCGCCCCGAAGTAGTAGAACGGGAGGACAAGGAGGAGGAGGAGCAGGAGGACCAGTGCAAACCCAAGACTAATCAAGGACCTTGCAATACACCCTCCCTCCAAGCTCCCTCTCCACAGGTATCTGTGAGAAGTCATTTTGCGCTGCGGGAAGTGTCTCGTTGGAAGACAATCGTCTGAACATCCTGAGCCGTGCCGGAAAACCACTCCTTGGACTTCAGTGCCGCGAATGAACGTTATTGCTGCGTCCTGACGATCAGTATCAGCGAACAAATACCTATATACTGAACACGCCCGATTTTCTCGAACGTCGAACCCCCCGTTCTCCGGGCCTTACTTCGGTGCCTCCTCAAATCGCTCCCCCCCGGTGCGCAGCGGTGCCCCAGTGAAGCGGCGAGTGAAAGCGTCGCGGCCTGCCCCGGCCCATCGCGCCTGTTATAGCTCTGCCTCGCGGGTCATTGATTTTACACGGGGCGGCGTTTTTTCCGCGGCAGTTTCCGAGTTGTTCGTTTCTTCATCTGTCGTGCAGATTTGCGGCCGTCCCTCGGGCACTTCTAGGGTGCCCTGGAGACTTGAGAAGAGCCCCGAGATGCTTTTTCAAGAAGCTCCCAGGAGGGCCTCCGCGAGATCGTGCCAAGCAGCACTGGTGTGGTTTTGGCGAGAACCCTTCAGAGGGCCCCTTCGGGGGGCCTCGGAAGGCTCCCTCCGGGGGTCATGAGGAGGCCGTGGGCGGTGGATAAGAGACCCGAGGAGGGCCCCGAGAGGGATTCGAGATGTCCGCCCACCAAGGTACACTTGTGCACCTGTGCGCTTAACCATGGTTTTTGCTTGGCCTTCCGGGGGCCATCTTCAACCTATCTTGGGACCTCTCGCGGATGTCTTCGAGCATCCATGGGGCCATCCCGGGGCTTCCCAGGACTCTTTTTGGGGCTGTGCAGGTCTTCCTAAGCATGCTTGGGGTTCTCTTGGGATTCTTGCGGTTTCGATCAGGGGCTGACGCGCGCGACACATTGTGCTACTTCTTTGCGTGGGGCGGGTGAGGTGGCCGGAGGGTCAGATTTCGGCGACCAGGGGGCTGGGGAGACGGCGTCAGAGACAGGCGCCGCAGAGCATGGAAAAGAGAAACAGGACAAGGGGGAGGAGGGATCATGAATGCGAGGAAAGGGGGGTAGGATCAAGGCCGAGGAGGAAGATAATCGCGAGAAGGGGGGTCCGAGGACGGAGGAAGAAGAGGATGGAGGGCGTCACGAGGACGCCAAGGAAGAATACGTGGAGGAACGGGAGGACGGAAGAGGGGCAAGGAACAATGCTTGGGGGGGCTGCAGAGCAGGGGGGGGGGGAAACGAGGGGGAGGAGGAACCCGATCCGATGAGCACAAGAGGCAGGATACGTCGGACAGAGGAGTGAGACTGCTCGGAGGAGGGAGGAGGGAAGAGTGAACCCTCGTGGGCTGTCCGTTCCAGGAGCGAGGGCCTGCCGTGTGTTGCCAGACGCGTGGAGCAGATGGGCCAACAATTTCTCCAGGCTGGAGGGTCTCACGGCTAATGTCTGCATCGATTTCAGTGCTTCAGGCCGTCGCCAACCTAGGGAAGAAAAACAACTGAGAGCATGCATTCCCGATTCAAGAGCACGTTTGCGACCGCTCGCAAACATTTGGCCGGTTCGGGGGCGGCCCGAGGAGTCCGAAAAGCGGGACTGCGTGCACGAATTTGTTCGCAGCGCGAACACACGGTGAACGAGGCAACGGGGCATTCTCTTAGGAGTTCCGTCCAGTAGCTTTCGCGGGAGCTTTGGTGGAGGAGGAGGAGAAGGATGTGCCAAGCCGCGGTCGCCCCCCCCCGAGCTCTGTTTCTCGTGCGGCATGTGCCTCGTGGACACGGGCAACGGCTTGCTGATGCTGGCGACGTACAATTGGGCAAAGGCCGCGTCTGCGCCTTGATAATTAGGGCTGCGGCCGCCAGCCTCGTTGCCGTTCTCCCTTCGCGCGTCCCTCCTCGCGCCGCTGTCCGTTGCTCCTCCTCCTTCGCCTCCCTCCCGTCCCACCCGCCACTCCCTGAATCCCCCTCCTGGTCTTCCGCCGTTTCTGCCCAGCCTTGCCTTCTCCCCCGTCCCTCAGCCTCTCCCCCATCCCTCCCTGTACTCACTCCCGCCCTCCCTATCCCGCCATCCCTCACCATGCATATCCCCCCTTTCCTCTCCTCCCTCCCTCGCCTCCCTCCAGCGTGCGCAGATCCAATATTCCAAATGCGCATTGCACGATGGGGTCCTCCCTGGGGTTCCAGGTCCATTGGGACACGCGTCGGCGGATAGAGAAAAAACAAGGCAACATAAGTTGATGGGTGACAAAAGCAGGGTGTCAGTTAGAGCGCGAGCACACACAGCTTGCCTCGCCCACCTCACCTCCCTTCATATCCCTCTCATCCGCCCTCCCCCTCCCTTCCTCCCTTCCGCCGTCTGCCGCCGCCTCCTGCCAATGTTGTTGTTTTGTTGTTGCTGCTGCTGTTGAGTTCTCATTCCTGAAGATTAATTACTGTTGGTCGCCCCTGCCCTGTAACCACTGCACGTTCCAATTAAAGTGCTTCTCCCAGGGTTCGCACCCTGTTTTTGACGAGAGAAGATGAGGTGTCACCAAACTGGACCCCTGGGCCCCTCGGCTGCAACAACAACGGCTCCCGCCTGATGCTTGCTCCCAGTGTATTCCGAATTCGCGCTCTCGCGAGGGACTTCCTCACAATGTATACAGGGATCGCGCTTTCGCGTGGGACTCTTTCACAATTTTTTCAGACGCCGCGCCCTCGACACTCAGTAATCACGCTCTCGATGTGGACGTCCGCACGTATTATTTGGGAATCGCGCTATCGCTCGAGATTGCATTGCGAGTCCTGCTCGATCTGGCCGCCTGGGCCTGCCTTCCCGACCTGCCCGTTAGGCTCTACCCGCCCGATCTGCCCGTCTGGCTCTCCCACGTGTTTTCTGCTCATACCCCCCCCTCCTGCTACTCTCTCCCGTGCTCCATCCTCCTCACTCTCCCACTGTCCCTTCCGACCATCCCTCTGGTCCTTCCTTGCCTTAGGGGCTACACGAAATACACGTTGCAGGAAAACATGATACACTCCCAATGGGATACACTCGAAGGCGGAGAGGGCGGGTATCGAGGGTTTGGGATATACGTTTGAGTGGCCCGCGAGCAGATAAGAGCGACCAGTCTTAACATTAATGTGTTCGGTGTTGTTGGTGGTGGTGTTGTTGTTATTTGTGTGCTTGGTGTTGTTGTTGTTGTTGCTGCTGCTGTTGTTGTTGTTGTTGTTGGTGGTGGTGTTGTTGTTGTTGTTGTTGTTGTTGTTGTTGTTGGTGTTGCTGGTTTTGTTGGTGTTGTTAAATTCTCATTTCAAAAAGGTAGTTATGGTTGACCCCCACCTCCAGGGCACACTGCGTTTTTCAATTGAAGTGCCCTCTCAAGGCGCTCGCACCTTGTTTTATCAATGAAAGTCTTGGGTTTCAGAATTGTGTCTGTGGCCCCCCGGTTTACAACAACAAAGGCTCCCTCCTGATACCTCCTCACCATGTGTTCCCATGACGGTCTCCCGCGGGACCTCGTCACACTGTATGCAGTAATCGCGCTCTCGCGTGGGACTTCCTTGCAACTCATTCACGCTCTCGTTGCGGACGTCCGCACGATTTACTTGGGAATCGCGCTGTCGCTCGAGACTTCCTAGGGTTCCTGCAGGACGCACGCTTCAGCAACCAGCCTGCTCGACCTGGCTGCCTGGGCCCGCCTTCCCGACCCGCCCGTTCGGGTCTACCCGCCCGATCTGCCCGTCTGGCTCTGCCACGTGTTTTCTGCCCCTTTGCTCCTAGCCCCCTCCTGCTTCGCCGTCTCATGCTCCTCATTCCCCCTTGTCCCTTCCTACCGTCCGTCCTGTCTTTCCCTGCCTTAAGGGCTACACGAAGTACACGGTGCAGGTAAGAGCGATACATACCCCAAAGAGGGTACGATCGGAGACGATGAGGGCGGGTATCGATGGTTCGGGGCACACGTGTTGAATAGCACGCGAGCAGATCAGAGCGAACAGTCTTAAATTGATTGGTGTTGTTGACGTTGTTGTTGGTGTTGTTGCTGTGGTTGGTGTTGATATGGTTGTTGTTGTGTCTGCTGTTGTTGTTGCTGCTGTCGTTGTGGGTGTTGCTGTTTTGTTGAACTTTCATTCTTGAACAAGTACTCTTGTTCCCCCCTCGGGCCTCCACCTTCTGGTCTCGCACCCTGTTTTTGTATGAAAACAATCAGGGGAAGTCTTCGTGTTGAAACCATGCTGTTGTGTTCCGAGCTACAACAACAACGGCTTTCGCCTGATACTTCCGCGGAATGTATTCTAACATCGCGCTCTCGCACGGGACTGTCTCACAACCTATGCAGGAATCGCGCTCTCGCGTGGGACATCCTCGCAGTTTATTTAGACGCCGCGCCCTCGACACTCAGGAATCACGCTTTCATTTTGACCTTCCTCACGATTTACGTGGTAATTCGCGATATCGCTCGAAATTTCCTTCCGATTCATGTCGGATTGGCGTTTCAGCAACCCGCCCGCTCGACCCGGCCGTTTGGGCCCGCCCGCCCGACCAGCCATTCTTGCTCCAAACCTTATTGCAATACTCTCTCGTGTTCCATCCTTCTCCCTCGCCCTTGTCTCTTCCCTCCTCCCTTCCTTCCCCTGTTTCAGGGGCTGCGCCAACTACACGCAGCAGGTATGCAAGATATATATCCCCAAGGGGGGTACGATCGCAGACGAAGAGGGCGGGAAGGAAGGGTTTGGGATATACGTGCTGAATTGAACACGAGCAGATAAATGCGAACAGTCCGAACATGACTGTTGTTGTTGCTGCTGATGATGTTGTTGTTGTGGGTGTTGTTGTGTTTCTTGAATTCTCACGCTTGAAGAATGATTATTTGTGGCCCCCCTCACCATGCACATTGTGCTTTTTCACAAGAAGTGCACCCTTCGGGCCTCGCACCCTGTTAGTTTGACCAGGGAAAGTCCTTGTGATCAAACTATACTGTTGGGCTCCGAGCTACAGCAACTGCGGTTTTCGCTTGATATTTCCGCACAGCGTATTCTAACACCGCGCTCTCGCTCGGGACTGCCACAATTTGTGCAGGAATCGTGTCTCGCGCTGGACTCCCTCGCAACTTATTCAGACGACGCGCCCTCGACACTCAGGAATCTTTCACGAGTAACGTGGGAATCGCGCTATCGCTTGAGAGTTCCTTGCGATTCATGCAGGGCGCACGCTTCAGCACCCCGCCTGCTCGACCTGGCCGCCTGGGCCAGCCTTCTCGACCCGCCCGCTAGGGTTTGCCCGCCCGATCGGCCCGTCTGGTTCTGCCACGTGTTTTCTGCTCCTAGCCCCCCTACTGCTAATTTATCTCGTGCTCCATCCTGCTCCCTCCCATTTTCATCCGTCCTTTCTTCCCTTATTTTAGGGGCCGCACAGAATTCACGTGGCAGGTAAGGAAGATGTACCTATAAGGGGATACGATTCAAGACGAAGGGGGCCGGTACCGAGTGTTCGGGACATGCGTATTGCATGTCACGCAGGCAGATAGACGCGAAAAGTCGTAAATGATTGTTGTTGGTGGTTTTGGTGTTGTTGTCGTTGTTGATGTTATTGTTATTTTAGTGATCGTTGTTGTTGGTGTTGCTGGTGTTGTAGTTGATGTTGCTGCTGTTGTTGTATTCGGGATTGGTGCTGTCGTATAATTATCCGTCTCTCTTGTTTGTTGGTATGCATCCTTCTTTATCTCTGCCTCTCCCTTTTGTTGTTCTCTCTCTATATCTCTCACTCTTTCCCACAGATAAGAAAATACACCCCCTCCCGTTCCTCCTTCCTCTTATCTCTTATCCCTTCTCATCCTCCGCCTCCGCCTTGTCCTCCCTCGCAGGACGAGGTGGAGGACGAGAGAGGAGGAGGAGAAGAAGGAGGTGTGGAATATTGTATTGCTCCCTCCTCCTCGGCATCCTCCTTCACTCCCCTTCTCTGCCGCCGTTCAGAGCACAGGATGCACAATGCAGCGAGCAGCGGAGGCGAAAGAAACGATTCTGGAGGAGGCACGTGTTACTCGAGTGTGGTTGCGGTCGTCCCCTCCCTCTTGCCCCTCCTTCTTCCCCCCCAAAAAAAAGTCACACGACTCTGGAGGAAGAGTTCTTACTGCTGGCATTGCAAATACTGCGTGCGCCGTGGCGCTGCCAGCCCGCCTACTACACGCTACGCCCTACCTTGGGGATAGCGTGTGCACCGAGGAGGCCCCAGCAGGGGGAGGGCGCGCACAGTGCACAGGAGGGGCCCTCGCGGGGGACCGCCTCACAGGGATAGCGTGCTTTTCGGAGATCTGTGTTGCACGCCATCTTTGCGACGCCACCCGCATGAAGCCCTGGCGCCACACCACGGCACCAAGAGGCCACGAACGCCCCACTCAGCTCCACGAGGCCGCACCACGCACCGAACACGCCAGAGCACCAGCAGCACCACCACCGCGTGGTCCCCGAGGCCCCACCGCTCGCCGCCCGGGCCTCTCGCGCGCCCCACGACGACGACGCCGACGACGACAACGACGACGCCGACGACGACAAGGACGACGCCGACGACGACGCCGACGCCGCCGACGCCGCCGACACCGCCGCCGACGACGACGACCCCAAGAAACACGACGCTTCACCACGCACCGAACACGCCAGAGCACACCCCAAAACCACGACGCCCCCCCGACACCGGGCGGCCCATCCGTCCACCTGAAGCAGGCAGGAAGAGGAGCAGCTTGGCAGGAAGAGCTTTCAAAACCCACCGCCCACCCCGACGACGCGGGGTGTTCGCGCACAGCTCCGCGCGCACGCCGCGCTGGGTATGGGCGCTAGCCATGCTTTCCTGTTGGCGGGCGGCCTCGAAGAACATTTCGCACCCCCAGGCTCCAGATCGTGAGCGTGGTTGGACCTGGGCAGTTTTGCTGCGTAGTAGTGCACAGTAGGCACTTCCGAACTTCGGACCCCAGATCCCTCTCTCCCTCTCTCTCTCCCTCTCTGCTTTCCCTTTGTCTTAACTTAATTTCTGTTTCTCTCTTTCTCTTTCTCTCTCTCTCTCTCTCTGTTTCCCACGTCCCTCCCTCACGTTGTATTCTGCATTGCGCCTTAACTCGCGATCTGTGCTCCGATAGACGATTGTCACGCGTGTTGCGGTCCCCATCTTGACCAGGTCTGGACCTCTCCAATTGATTTAACCTCACTTGGGGTCGATTGTGGTTGAGGTGCTCACAGGCCCCTTGAGGTAGGAGCTCAGGTGCTCGATCATGGACCTTCTATTGAACGCGACCGTCCAGCTTTCGCGAGGACGGCCACGAGAGATGGCCGGGGGCCGCCAGAGGTCGCTGAAGTCCGACGGTCAACGGTCAGGGGCAATGTTAGGGGGTGATGGATTCCGGGGGGATACATCGAGGCCCAATCGCCCAGTCATCGCTTGTAGGGGCCCGATGGCCCACCACGCCCAGGACTGCGTGGATTTGCTATCGTGGGCCTATCGCAAATACATCTGCGATGTATCGCCGAGTCCAGGTTGATGGGCCCCCCTTGAGCCGCTACCCCCCAAGCGTTCCCCCTCAATTGGGGGGTCAATGACCGACCGCGTAGAGGTGCGGCCCAGCGAGAAGATCTTTTACAATTTCCTGGTGACCTCGATGTCGGCTACCATCGCCCTCTGCATCGGCACCCTCGAGCTTCTGCAGGTTGGGGCGCGGAGGATCCTCCTCCTTTTCTTCCTCCTTCTCCCTGTTCCTGGAACTTCTGCAGGTTGGATTGCAGGGAAGGTTTTCCTTTTCCTCCATCGACGTTCAGAGGCAGTTTGGATTTTTTGATGGAGGTGAGACGACCACCCCAGAATATTGCTATTATTTCTTGCAATTATTATAACTTCTACGACTACTAGTACTACGACCATGTCTACGACTACTAGTACTACGACCATGGCGACTACTATTATTAGTATTATTATTACTACTACTACTACTACTACTACTACTACGACTACGATTCCTATTAATACTACGACTACTAGTACGACTAGTACTACTACTACTACTACTACTACTACTACTACTACTACTACTACTACTACTACTACTACTACTACTACTACTACTACTACTACTACTACTACTACTACTACTACTACTACTACTACTACTACTACTACTACTACTACTACTACTACTACTACTACTACTACTACTACTACTACTACTACTACTACTACTACTACTACTACTACTACTACTACTACTACTACTACTACTACTACTACTACTACTACTACTACTACTACTACTACTACTACTACTACTACTACTACTACTACTACTACTACTACTACGACTCCTACTACCACTACTACGACTATCGCTACTACTTATTATACTGTTACTGCCCCTCCCACCTGTATCAGTACTACCCTCACGGATAGTTCTACTATATTATTATGTGCCTTCCCACCACAACATTCGTTATTACGACGACTACTATGCCAAATCATTATGTGGTTGTGGGTCTTCGTTTTGAGGAGACAGCGCCCCGCGTCCCACCTTCCTTCCTCCTCCTCCCCCTCCTCCCTCCTCCCCCTCCTTGCCTCTGCTCTCGGCAGGCTTCTCACACGCTTTGTAGCCCCATAGGGAGCTCCCCCGAAGGCTCCAGTGGGGGGGGTCGCATGCGGTTCCCCCACCCAGGGCAGCGCTTCGTGGCCCCATAGGGAGCTCCGCCGATGGCCCCAGTGGGGGGGGTCGCATGTGGTTCCCCCACCCAGGGGAGCGTTTCGTGTCCCCATAGGGAGCTCCGCCGATGGCCCCAGTGGGGGGGGGTCGCATGCGGTCCCCCCGCCCAGGGCAGCGTTTCGTGTCCCCATAGGGAGCTCCGCCGATGGCCCCAGTGGGGGGGGTCGCATGCGTTTCCCCCACCCAGGGCAGCGCTTCGTGGCCCCATAGGGAGCCCCGCCGATGGCCCCAGTGGGGGGGGGGTCGCATGGGTTCCCCCACCCAGGGCAGCGTTTCGTCGCCCCCTAGGGAGCTCCGCCGATGGCCCCAGTGTGGCGGGGTCGCATGCGGTTCCCCCGCCCAGGGCAGCGCTTCGTTGCCCCATAGGGAGCTCCGCCGATGGCCCCAGTGGGGAGGTCGCATGTGGTTCCCCCACCCAGGGCAGCGTCTCGTGTCCCCACAGGGAGCTCCGCCGGTGGCCCCAATGGGGGTGGTCGCATGCGGTTCCCCCGCCCAGGGCAGCGCTTCGTGGTCCCATAGGGAACTCCGCCGATGGCCCCAGTCGGGGGGGTCGCATGCGGTTCCCTCGCCCAGGGCAGCACCTCGTGTCACCATAGGGAGCTCCGCCGATGGCCCCAGTGGGGGGGGTCGCATGCGGTTCCCCCACCCAGGGCAGCGCTTCGTAGCGTCATGGGGGGCCCCGCCGAAGGCCCCAGTGGGATGGGTCGCATGCGGTTCCCCCACCCAGGGCAACGCTTCGTGTCCGCATAGAGAGTTCCGCCGATGGTCCCAGTGGGGGGGTCGCACAGGGCAGCGTTTCGTGTCCCCATAGGGAACCCCGCCGATGGCCCCAGTCGGGGGGGTCGCATGCGGTTCCCCCGCCCAGGGCAGCGTCTCGTGTCCCCATGGGGAGCTCCACCGATGGCCCCAGTGGGGGGGGGCGGCATGCGATTCAGCCACCCAGGGCAGCGCTTCGTAGCGCCATGGGGAGCCCTGCCGAAGGCCCCAGTGTGGGGGGGTCGCATGCGGTTCCCCCACCCAGTGCAGCGCTTCGTGGCCTCATAGGACCTCCGCCGATGGCCCCAATGAGGGTGTCGTATGCGGTTCCCCCACCCAGGGCAGCGTTTCGTTCCCATAGGGAGCTCCACCGATGGCCCCAGCGGGGGCGCCCGCATGCGATCCCCTTACCCAGGGCAGCGCTTCGTGGCCCCATAGGGGGCTCCACCGTGAGCCCCAGTGGCTGCTCTCGCATGCGGTTCCCCCGCCCAGGGCAGCGCTTCGTGACCCCATCGGGGGCTCCACCGTAGGCCCCAGTGGGGGTGCCCGCATGCGGTTCCCCACCCCAGGGCAGCGCTTCGGGGCCCCATGGGGAGCTCCACCGTAGGCCCCAGTGGGGTGCCCGCATGCGGTTCCCCCACCCAGGGCAGCGCTTCGTGGCCCCATAGGGAGCTCCATCGAAGGCCCCAGTGAGGGTGCCGCATGCATTCCCCCACCCAGGGCAGCGCTTCGCGGCCCCATGGTGAGCTCCACCGAAGGCCCCAGTGGGGGTGTTCGCATGCGGTTCCCGCACCCACGGCAGCGTTTCGTGGCCCTATAGGGAACCCCACCGAATGCGTTGCTCACAAAGACGGTATTCACAACTGCATATGGTTGGGTCCCTCGCCAGTTTTTTTATTTCGACTACGACATCAACCACTACTAACACTATGGCTAGCACTAGTACTTCTTCGACGACTTTGAATACTACGACTACTACGGTTGCGAATGTTGCGATTATTACTGCTACCATACATAATATTACCATTACCGCTACTACCATTATTAGTAGTAGTAGTAGTAGTACGACTACTACTACTACTACGACTACTACTAGTACATTTTCAAGTACTCCTGCGGCCACTACTATCATTACTACTAATCTTACTACTGCTACCACCACTACTACTACTACTACTACTACTACTACTACTACTACTACTACTACGACTACTACTACTACTACTACTACTACTACTACTACTACTACTACTACTACTACTACTACTACTACTACTACGACTACTACGACTACTACTGCTACTACTACGATTAATATTGCTACGACTACGACTATTACTATGACTACTACTACTACTACTACTACTACTACTACTACTACTACTACTACTACTACTACGACTACGACTACTACCATTACTACTACTACTACTACTACTACTACTACTACTGCTACTACTACTACTACGACTAGTACGACTACTACGACGACGACTACTTTACTACTATTACTACTACTACTACTACTACTACTACGAGTTGTATTAATATGACTGCTACCATGACTACGACGACTAGTACAACGACTACCCCTTCTACCCCTTCTATCCCTACGATTAATACTACTACTACTATTACTACTACTACTACTACTACTACTATTACTTGTACTACTACTTTTACTACTACTTTTAGTACTACTACTACTACTACTACTACTACTACTACTACTACTACTACTATTACCACTACTACGACTACTACTACTACTTCTAGAGTTAGGTTCTACTACGACTACGACTACGACTATCATTTCTACTACTACTTCTACGATTACTAATACTACTACTACTACTACTACTACTACTACTACTACTACTACTACTACGACTACGAACGCTACTACTACTACTTCTACTGCTACTACGACCGCCACTACTACTACCACTACTACTACCACTACTACTACCACTACTACTACTACGACTACTACTACTACTACTACGACCAGTACCACGGCTACTACGATTACTAATCTTACCACAATTACGCTTACGACTACTACCACTACGACTACTCATACTCTCACCACTACTACTACTACTACTACTACTACTACTACTACTACTTCTACTACTACTAGTACTATTACTACTCTTACTACTACTACTACTACTACTACTACTACTACTACTATTACTACTACTACTACTACTACTACTGCTGCTACTACTACTACTGCTACTGCTACTACTACTACGGCGACTACTACTACTACTACGACTACTACTACTACTACCACTACTACTACTACCTATGCGACGACGAGTGTTAAATGCACCGCAATGTTTGCAATGGAACAACATCTACTTGCCCGTCGATTTGGGCAACGGTTGCTGCTACTACTACTACTACTACCACCACTACTTCTACTACTACTACTACTACTACTACTACTACTACTACTACTACTACTTCTACTACTGCAACTACAACTACTACTACTACTACTACTACTACTACTACTACTACTAGTACTACTACTACTACTACTACTACTACTACTACTACTACTACTACTACTACCACTACTACTACTACTTCTACTACTACTACTACTCCGACTGCGGCGGCTACTACTACTACGGTTACGATTACGATGGCGATTGCGATTGCAACTGCTACTAATACTACTACTACTGCTGCTACTACGACTACTACTGCTACTACTACTGCTACTACTACTACTACTACGACTACTACTACTACTACTACTACTACTACTGCTACTACTACTACTACCACTACGACTACGACTAATACTACTACTACCACTACTATCACTATTATTAGTACTACTACTACTACTACTACTACTACTACTACTACTACTACTACTACTACTACTACTACTACTACTACTACTACTACTACTACTACTACTACTACTACTACTACTACTACTACTACTACTACTACTACTACTACTACGACGACGACGACGACGACGACGACGACGACGTCGATTACGACGACGACGACGACGACGACGACGACTACTACCACTACTACTACTACGACTACGACGACGACGACGACGACTACTACTCACTAGCGTTACGGCTGGTACGACTACGATTATTTTATCGGTTATTCCGTGGCACCGTTGCTGTTCGTTCGCGCAGCGATGTAGTTCTCATCCGATA